ACTAACAGATTTCTATTAGTGTTTTTCTAGAGGCGAATCCGAGCGAAGCGAGGTTGAGCCGCTAGTAAATAAATAAATATGTTGAGGCATTAACACACAGCACCATCTACTTCCATGGTAAGCTACGAAGCTTGTGTTATGGATACCAGATAGTTGATACACTACACATATCTAACATTAAACACATACATATTACAAATATAACATATACAAATATAACAAATAACACCCATGACTGGAGTACAAACATTCGTACTCATCAAACAAATGAATGCCCCCAGCGAGACTCGAACCCGCGACCGCTGGCACAGCAAGTAGGGCCACTACAAACTGAGCCAAACGAGTGTCAATATAATTGTTCTTATTCTACCTTTTCTAGTGTACATTTCGAGGCTGATTTCTAGCAACCAGCGTTAGTGGGGTCTCGGAGTATACAATATACATACATAACATATATATGTTTAACTACGAGTATTTTAGTATCTACCACTTAACATGAAACCCATTTTGTAAAATTAATCGGTACAAACTAGCTGCCAGAAATTATTATGTACAAGATAACGTTGGAGCTTCAATAAAATATGTCCTGTAGCTGCTATCTAGTAAAGCTTGTCCAAACAGAATACATGAAGTAGGTATATATTAATTATATCAATTTTAAAAATTTTGCAAATTCACTGTCTAACTTTGAAAACACATGTTTAAATTTTTTACACCCTGTATTATGTTATATCATATGTTGGCTGCCTATAATAAAAATGATATTTATGTGTCACACCTGGTTGTGCTGATGATATCATAACAAACAGATACAAACTCTAAATATTAAATATTTTTTGGGAAATCTTATTGAAATAAACATTATTATCGATACAGAGGCCGAATCTATAGTTTTTAGAATATTTGTCTGACTGGCTGTCTGTTACCGCATCACGGAAAAACCTCTGGAGGGATTTTGATGAAATTAAGTATGATGATAGCTGGTCATCTGGATCAGCATATAGGATACGTTTTGCAGGAAAATATCTAATTTCTGAGAAAAAATACAAAAACTGCATTGTAAGAGTATGTGCATATACTAATTTATATAAAACTTAAGAATTTTCTTTTTGGTTATCTGAACGCGGGCGGAGCTATTTAATGCTAGTTAAATATATGTTAGTAGATAAATTATAGTAAATACTCTTCCCTTTAAACATTTAATTTTGACATCTTATTAGAATCCGATGACAGTAACAAGAAATTGCCGCCGATAGCAAATTGGTTCTACGAAAATAATAATTTAAAGAAGTATGTAATTAATTTTGAATATAATCACTCTCCATTCTATTAAAGTAAAAGTTTTAGAACGATTTAGTCACAGACAGATTTAATGTAAAAAATAATTTCTTCTATTTATGTATGTACGTAAAAAGTGTAAGTATGTATATGTAAAAAAGTACATTCATTATCTTCAGTCAACAACAGAACCAGTCTTCAAACATTTGTATATGTAGTGTTAGATTAAAGGTTAACTTTTCCATGGTTTTTAAAGGCGCTTATCACTTAGCATGTAAAGCAAATGGTCCGTATTCTCCCACTTAGATACATCATCGGAGATGAAATTATTCATCATGACAAGTTGTGCCCGGCATTTGAGGTGGCGAGAGTCGAATCGTGCGTGACGTTCATCAGAACGCTCGATTACAATCGGGTACGGGGCAATATGCATGGCCTAGAGCTGACGGTTTAATATTCAAGTGTCGCTCGCGCGCGGCGCACGCCTTGCTGTAATAAAAGCACGCTCCGACGCTTAACGAGCTAGACCGATGAGCTCCTTCGTATTTCAAACAAGTCGACCCTGTACGTGACCGCTACGAGGCTACATCTTAATTTCTGCAGTAATGTCGAGATTGTGAATTATTATCTTTGTTAATACCCCATGTCGGGGCAAGCATTAAGGTTTCAGCGTGCTCCGCTACGTTGTAAACATGAAGCCTTAAGAATGAAATGGAGTTGTGTAATAGACAATTGTTTGTATGATAAGTTCATGATATTCTAGAAAGATTATTGTATATTTAATGTCAATAATGTATTACAATGTCTAGAAAGATTGTAGAACGAGATATTCAGAATAAATCAAAACTCATTCAAAAGATAGATAATATTAAAGTAATATTTAAACACGATTCTTCAGACTACGTTAAAATACGATAATAACGAAAAAAGAATGTAACGCAAAGTGAAAAATACGTGACTTACATTTCAAACAAGAAAATTGTCATTTACCAAACACGAGCCTTTAACAATGGGGACTAATTTTCATTTTGGATCTGCAAAACGTAGAACACAAGATAAATAAATACATTTATTGCCATATCTGATACAATTCCATTATTAGAAACTACTTACAAGTAGCAAGTTCATACTAAAACGGATACCCGCCAGCAGTTTCCAACTCAAACTTCTAGACTGGAAAGAAAGTTATCAGCAATCGAGGGGCCATTGATTGTGCACAAAGAGCCTTTCGTCTCGCGACATTCGAGTTCGATTTTCTACTCACAATGCGGGCCCCGTTTTTCGTCTTGCATTTGGTATAATAGTACGGTTCATTCGGTCCCAGCCGACATTGTTCGCTCTTTTTGATTTATCCTGAAGACTACAGGGCATTTGAGTGCACATTTCAAATCTCGAACACATTTTTGCCTACTTTAGGAAATTTGTCAGATTCAAATATTAGCGACTTAAGTACATTAGCGCGATTCACGAAGCTCTAAGTCTGTTTGGCTAGAAGCCAAAGTACTTGCACAATGCACAATAAATACCTACTACACCAAGTACTCTTAATTACTCCACTTCCATTCCACGAGTTACAGAGCAAAATAAAAACATATAGTTTTGTCATTTCTCAAATTCGATCTCTGTAATAGAATGTCTAATTACTGCAATTACTTTATACATAGTGACAGTACAAATAGCGTCCTTAATGAAGCTTGAATATTTTTAACTCTCTTCGTTCTGCGCTATGAGTTAAAGAACATGATATATTTTTTTTATAAAAACTATAATAATACTTATGAAAAGTATTTTAATTGATCCATTTTTTTAAGACTATGCGATCAGAGTGGACTGCCACGGATATTATATTGAATGCTCTTTCCAAAGGCAAGTGCAAGGTACTTCCTTTTTGTCTAACGAAAGGAATATTTATATATAAATTACAATCAATGTAATCAAACCAGGCCATAGACTCTAGTCTTTCACAATTGACAATTATAACTGACATTACGAGTAGTTACGTTTTACAATAATTATTGTGTTCTCGTCAAGCATTTAGTTGCAAAAGTTAATATGTATGTATTATGTATATCGCTTTCTATAGACAATAATAAATCTTTTAACTTCTGAGATCCAATCTATTCGAATATCATATTATTCATATTACCAATTTGGTACATCGACTTTCCTAGAATCAACCTCTGAAACTCTTTATGAAAAGTTAAAGCCAACAATGGCGTCTGTGTTTCTATGCAACATTCTATTACTATCAAAGGTTATCGTTATGCTTAATAAGTAAAATAGGTTCACCGTTTATTTAAAATAAACAATAATTGAAGGTTATAATAATACTAAATAGAAATATGTTATTCTATATAGACTAAAAATATTCGTTCGAGTTCGAATGTAAACCGTCTTAAATAATTTAGGACTGCGATCCATACTTTAAAGGCCATTATACTTAGAACCTTGACCATGAAAAGGTTACAATTAACTATATGAAAACATTCAACTAACCGAAAAACTAAGAGCACACCAATATCCAACCACCTTTATTGCTTGTAGTGAAACAAATAGGACGAAGTGAAGTTTCTGTTTACACGTGCCGTCGGTAATCCGAGGTGCAAAGCGATAGAGGAATCAAGCAACAGTTATTGGCTGAGCCTCTGCGCCCATTCTATTGTTCACGGTTTAAGCCGATATTGCTATTTCCCTCAGCCTTAATAGACAAGACATATTAATTGAGATCATTTCTCGACCCGATAGGTACAAGGACTGTTCATAGTTAAAGAACCAAAAGATTAAACTGAGTTCATATAAGACTACCCTCGCTTTGCTAAGGTTGGTACCTTGGTTTTCAACGCCTTATGTGCTAATAGGTCACAGTCTACCTGTGTACTAAACTTAATCCAAATGCAAATAGCCTTTTCCTCGTAAAGGAGTAACAAACATTCAGACATACAAACTATTGCATTTATAATAGTAATTCGATTTCTACATTTACTTTATGAGAATATCACGTGACCGAATTTCATAGAATTTCAAAATACTTATTAATATCAATACCATATAGTTATTATAAGTAGAGCAGCTGCTTCACATCTACAACTCTAGAAGTGAAATAGCAATGGAAATTAGTTTTCAACAATATATCGCACCCATTCCGCGAAGATAGTAAAGCAGTATCCTTAACATAATACGTATATAAATCGAAACAATTTAATCTCTTACAGAAAAGTGTTGTTTAGAATTATTGAAGAATAATTAATTTTTTGACACGACTCTCTTACACTCTATAAAAAGCCATGCTCTAGTTAAAATTTTCATTAATCGTGAAAGAAACGCTTCATATTATTCAAAATAACATCAGCGTGTAATAAAGTTGCGAGACAGGTAAATTCAGAAGCGAAATTCTGTAAAGCGTTACCTAAAAATTGTTTTCAACCCGCAACACGCTCCCGTCAAAAAGCCAAAATCGACAAACAAATTCAATTAAAACTTCGAGGCGAGTAACCTCAAGCCGAAAACATTAGAAGAAGCATAATTAATAATTACAAAGGGACCCATAATATGGAACAAACAAGATTGGAACTAAACAATAGATTTAAGTTAACCAACGATCACTCATTCACGGGACGTAAAACCGAATCTAGAGGAACTAAGTCTCCTTTTCTCCTTTTTATCCGAATATATCTGTCTTTATTGTTCGGAAGGGGAAATGTGAGACGGGCTATTTGTTTTTACAGTCGAGCGCCGCCGAACAAATTAGATGGACAAACTGTTGGAGCGGTTGAGGTGTCTATATTCCGCTCTACGAGAGTTCTTCTGTTCAATTCGTTCGAAGAATGTCTCCACGATCTAGTTCGAGTGAGGTAATCATTTTCACTTCGCTACCAATGAAGATATCGCGTTAACAGTTATATTGGAATTTCTTTATTGTGAAGCGGTGTTGTGCTTTTATTTATGATACATTTAAAATAAAAGAATTTAGTGTCTACAATATATTTTGTGTATTATTTTATGTATTTTTTTAAATGCTTATTACTACTGTACTAATCTTACTTAATTAAGTACTTAATTATCGCATATAATTTCTTTCATAAATGTATATAATAAAGAATTATTTGTTTTGATAGAATTCCTAAGTCCTAGCCGTAATAAGTAAAATTAAAGGAACGATGGCAGTTTTGCAAATTGTGAACAAACTACAACAAAAGTACTTGTAGGTTTCAGGAAACCTTACAGTTACTGTCTGCGCGGGCCGTTACCTGATTCCTACGACTAGTTGGTCAATCGATCGGCCACCCGATCCAGGAAAGGGGCAAAAGTCTGGCCCGTCTGACGTCTCTATAATACTTAGGAATACCGAATATCATAGGAATAATATATACAAATACTTTTCGCGGTTATAAGTTGAAGGCATTATATTAAAAATATTATATTTATAAAAAACTAGCAACTCACCCTGTCTCCGCTCGGGTTCGTCCCTAGTGAAAATTTAGGTTTGTATTTATTTTTAATGCCGAATCATAAAAAAATGAAATAAAAAATGTTGTCCAAAAAATAAAATTTTAAATTGGGCTGGACCACCCTTATCTTTTAGGGGTATGAAAAATAGTTTACGTCCTATTCTCAGACCTACTGAATATATACACAAAATTTCATAAAAATCGGTCAAGCTGTTTCGAAGGAGTTTTATTACATACACTGTGCCACGAGAATTTTATATATTAGATATATCAAAAGTAAATGTAATATTGCAATACATTATAATACATTAAAATTTCTTGATAAATTGTCATATAAAGTAAAAGCGTTAATTTTCGAAATAATTAATTAAATTTTAGCGCTCGAGTGCTCTCCTCACGAATAATGTCTTGTATGAAAAACTTGCCCTGCTTTTGTTCTTATCCTGCAGCCATGCTATAAATAAGCATGTCTATATAAGATAGCGCCTTTAATTAGAAACATTAAAGAGTATTTTTAAAGTTATCAAAAGTTTCATTACCTATATTAATTTTGCTATTTTTAATATAAAAAGTTAACGTTTATTTGAAATTGTAATATTACCGTTTTATATATGGCTAGTTAAATGTAAATAGAACTCCATACCAAACATTTAAAGTGACTCTAGACAGTAGTGGCGCCAGTGAAGGCAGACCCGCCGGCGCCAGCCGCGCCCGCCAGCACCCCTGCCTTTACGTGAACCAGTTATTATCTTTACATTTACCATGTTTTGTAAAACACTACTTAGCTATCGTAAAAAGAGTATTCTAACTTAAAGTGCACGACATTATTTTGACGTCATGCGAATTGAAAAAAAATATAGAGATACGTATAAAAATGCAAGTGATCATTATACGTTTTTTACTACCTTAAATTATCAATATTTAATATTCGATATACTTTTACGGCATACATCTTTAGTGGCTATTAATTATCTATGCAATAAAATGGTTCATTTCATATATTTATTTATCTTTTGTAAAAATAATTAACATGTTATAAAAATTAAGAATCAGTATCGCTACATACATATTTTATTTTCATAATACTTTCTTAGATTTAAGCGGACATTTGATATTTTGAATAAAACTATCTTTTCGGATTATTTTGATTTTTGATTCCCGACGTTTCGGATGCTTTACAGCAATTCAAGACAATTAAAAAGGTTGATAATGTATGATTGGCTTTTAAAGTTTTCATGAAAATAAACGATTAATATAAAATAGCTACTATGCTATACAATCTGAATTTATATAATATTGATTAGTCTAGACTAAATAATATAATGTATGCCTAGGGGTTTAGGTTTAGATAACATGTTGGCTTCCAGAATAGTTAAAACGCGGTTACATTTTGGTGTTTATGATAGGCGTAACAAAGTTTTGAAAGAGAATAATATACCTATACTTATGCTAATAGTTATTCGTTCTAGCATGTTTTAATGTAAGATAAGCTAACTTTATTTGATAATTTCAAAGAACACGTATATATATAACAATATTTCAATATTTTTGACATACCTATAAACTAAAGTTGCAATTTTTCCTTTTTAAGTTACATAGCGAGTTGATATGATCTGTAAGGTAGATGAGTGAGTCTTTGTAACGTTACCTTCTACTATTATGATGTTAACGTAAAGGTTAGTTGTATTTGTTATCGTTAATTTCTTATTTGAAATGAGTTTTCATATAAGTATAGTAATCAAATAAGTATTTTCGTCTACTAAGAGTACAATTCTGTATATAAATAACCTTTTTTTATGAACTTTGTATAAGGTTAGGCTAAATAAAATATATCTATATCAATAGTACAATTTAATAATTATATATCAATAGAAGACTCAAAAGAATTGTCCTCAATTTAAATCAATAAATGGATTCGATCATATACCCACGTTAAAATTCTATTTCTCTTGTAATGTGGTCATTTTCCACATGATTTCAGCATTCAAGTAATTGGAAAGTTGCCTAGTGATCATCAGAATTGACATCAATCTCGTGTCTACTCCATTAGACGGCACTATGATTACTACGAGTATAGTAGATACATATATACGAGTACTTGTTTTTACTTAGCGTTAAACGAAACTTTCATCTCGAAAATGTTAAAAACTTGTAATAATTTATTTGAATATTTATATACTGCTCTGTTTAGAGAACGGACAAAGCGAACATGGTTGCTTTACGCTAATATGAATAAAGGATTATTCTCGAGTGCCCCCAAGTTATGCTCCTTACAGATTACAATACAGAGTGTAGTCATTGTATTAGGCTTTTAGCTTCTCAGTTGTGAATTGTTATTATAAGATCATAATTATTATGAATTCGATACGTTTTGTGTGCTACATTTTTGCTATTAACATAATCCCAAAAAATATAATAAAATATACCTCCACAAATTAACGTAGCATTTTTAAACATTTTCACATAATATAGACTGATATTTACCTAATTATATTGCTAGAATAATAAGGTAATAAATGTGTATTCAGTCCTTTTTAACGTCCCACTGCTGGGCAAGGGCCTCCGTTCATTACGAGGGGAATCAGGCCATAGTCCACCACGCTGGCCAAGTGCGGTTTGGGGGACTTCACATGTCTTTTGAAAACTTGCTAGGTTCTCCCAGACATGCAGGTTTCCTCATAATGTTTTCTTTCACCGTTACGACAAGTGGTAATCATGTTGGAAATGATTCGCACATGAAAATATCAAAGGAGTGGGACCCGGGATTTGAATTCATTTCACTCGGTTTCTCAAGCGAGCGCGTTACCACTGGGCTACCAAGGTAATAAATACCTTACCTCTAATTCAATTTTACTATTTTTTTTTAATGGTAATTATTTTATTTATAATTTGTTTTTTTTTCATATATATTTTGATATTTTACCTTGCAAGGTGCAAGGGTCACTTAGTACTTATAATATGTTATTATAATACGCCTAAGTGCGGCTACATCAGCCGCTTGAGTGATTGCGCCTCCACAACTAGCAAAGGGTCTTGTCCATAATCCTTCCCCTTTGCTTAGTGCATGAATTCACATCAAAGCGACGCAGATACAACTTCTAAACGTTCTGGACAAACTCACTTTGTAGTAACGAGTATTTTCAAGTTAATTATTATTTTACAGTTAATGTTATGACTGCGGTCTGTAATATATTTAGTAAATAAATTTAGCGTGTAAAGTTTATGCAACAGCGGTCAAAATGAAATCTTTAAATGTAGTAGGTATGGTATATGAAGAAAATAAAAATGTAGCTATATATAACAAGTAATTTAATAATTGTATTTGTTAACTAAATCAGCAATTAAAAGTTCTTTAAACATACTTTTTATCTCCTATTTGATGAAATGTTGAAAACAAAACATTCTTGGAGGCTAAGTACTACTTACTTAGATATATTTATTTATAGTTTTTCATAACAAAGGGCAAAACAACACAGTGGATAGCAATCAATTTATAAAGCTCCCCGCACGAGTCGAGACGAGGCGAGCGACATCCACTCTATTTGTCTCGCTAACACAACCGCTGCCCACTTCTCGCCTGCGAGCGGTTTACGTTGAAGAATTTATCGCTATTCCTTTAAGGCTCCGTTCGCTTTTCCTCTTAACTTCACTGCAGATTTTTATTTCGCTCGAATGTGATTTAAAGTAATTGTACTGTTAGTTTAAATAACCAACAAGATATTCACTATCTTATCGATATTTTCGACTTTAATATTTGACTTTTTGTATGGTTGTTTATAATAAATACTAGCGACTTACCCTCGCTTCGCTCGGGTTCTTCCCTAGGGACATTTTGATTTTTTTTAACGGAACCTTAATTCTTTTACTGAAATAAAAGTAGCCTAAATTACTCCTTATAACATCAAATACCTGCCAGTGAAAGTTTCGTCAAAATCGGCCCAGCCGTTTCAGAGATTAGCCGGAACAAACAGACAGACAGACAAACAGATAAAAATTTTAAAAAATGTTTTTCTTATAAATACCGTATATAATGGAATTATATACATGCAGTTTGTAAAAAGCTGTTATTTTGACATTACAAACAGACACTTCCATTTTATTTATCTGTACATAGATTTTGTTACTAATAAATAATGGGTGTAAGCAAACGTAAAAATATTGTTTTAAAATTGAAAGAAAAACATTAGGTACCTATCTACAATCCCTATGAATATATTTTTAATTTTATTATAAAAAAAATTGTATGTATTTATGTAGAAGATAATATCTAAAAACTACTGATCCCATTCTGAAAATTCTTTCACTGATAGGAAGCTACATTACCGCCGAGTGATATCTATTGTTATGAGATCAAGTGCTAGTGCCTAATAAAATAAAACATAAATTTAAATTAATTTATAATATATTTCTTTTAAGTTCCTACAAATCTGACGTGTTAACGTGTTAACGTGTTTTAAGGGAGTTTTACATATGAATTTGTTTACAGAAGTTTTTCATACAATTCAGGAAAAACACTTTTTCCATCACTATACCTAATACTTAAAAGCAATGGTGAAGTTAGTATGAAGAAATAACTTGGAAATACAGGCGACACAGAAGAAAATTAAAATTCATATGGGCAATAAGCATCATATAATAAAACATAAATAAAAATGTAAGTAGTTTCAATCTTACACAACTTGTCACATTAACACAAACGTTAGCCTTTGTACAGAAATAAAACTTAATTGCAACGCAGGGCTAGAGCTGCTTTTGACATATCGATAAAGATATTTTATTGTAAAATAGCTATTTTATTGTAATATAGGAAAGCTTCTTCTATATTTTTACTAAAATATATGGAACAAAATTTAATAAGACGTTAGAATTTAGGAGCACAAACGTAAGATGTGCAAAGCAATGTGTGTATATTTTTTCTTTTCTAAATGTTCAAATAGACGAGATGTTAACATGCATACAAACTATAATATAACAATAGCCGCAAGTTATATATAATCTTTTGTTTTCAGCTGCAATAGTCGCGAGGAAAATTTCCTTTTATTGTGTTAGCAAACGCTTATTGTATACCCGAGCATTTTCTCCATTGTGATAGCCCGTCGTACCTACCTCTTTGATATTACTTTGCGATTGTTCGATGACAAATCACTTAAGTGATACATTAAGTCTCATCTTACACTAGAAGTCGAATGCTATTAGTAGCTATTATTTAAGTATAGTCAAAATATAATATCTTCTATGTGCACATCGAAAGTTTAACTTCTCTTTAAGAACGTAGAATAGGAACATACACTGTTTTAGACACCATTATCATTATAGTTAAAACATGTCGAGGATATCACAAAATATCCAACATTATTATTTGATATTTTGTGATATTCTCTTTTAGAGGTAGGAGACTTACCTCTTCCTCAGTGGTGGCGGTGTTGACGGAATCCATGCTTTGACAGAGCGCGAGCTCCATGTTCTTGTGTTGCGGTGAAGTGGGCCGCGGCGATGGCTGCTGGGGCGGTACCAGCGCGCCCTGCGTAGCCCCTGCCGCCTGCTGCACGCCCGTGCCCGTCGCCGGCGGGCTCTGCGCGAGACTCTGCGCCTGTAGGCTCTGGGCCGCCTGCAAGCTCTGTGCCTGCAGGTTCTGGAGCGACTGGTGGGCCAGGTTCAGCTGGTGTTGCTGCACGATGCTCTGCTGCACTATGCTCTGCTGCACCTTGATATGCTGGTGCACCGCCAGCTGGTGGATGGGGTGGAGGGGCGAGGGTGCGGGGTACGGGGGGGAGAGCCGCTGCCGCTTCGCTTGCGCACTCTGAAGCGCTTCGTGCAGCCTCTTCACCGGGAGGGGGCTCTGGCCGAGGTTATCCACGGCTGTGTCGGGGCGTGCCGGCCGAGTCGCGCGACTCCGGCGAGCACTGACAGTTGCAGCGACAGGAGGCGGGACCGCGATACGCGACTATATCGTCTGTGTCGACAACGGCGCACCACCACGCGCGTTGCAATATCAATTAATTGACTTATTGGCTACGCTCGTTAAACTTAAAGATTACTAAACGGCGAAAGGTGATTGTTCTGTATTATATTTGCGCTTGAGCACTTTGTTCTCATTCGTGCTGATCGATGCTCTGCGTGTAAACTGATCCTGAAAAAGAACAAAAATACATGAAACACTCATAAGTAACGCTTAAATATAGACGCAACTAAGTAAAGGCAACCCGATGTGAATAGGTAGAGCGATATATCGACTCAAATGATAATTCAAAATACCTCACATTCTGTCAGAGTCCAATTAGTAAGAGAAGCCTCTTACCACCCTCTATCGATAAATCGGAAAGCACTCTCTGGTGTATTTCACCCGCGCTTTGAAAAGTAGAAACCTATACTATGGAATCATATGTCGATGTAGATTATAAAAGTGGAAGGTGGTTGTTTTGATAACCCTGATTGCGAATGAGTTTTATTTCTAAGCTTTATATTTTTTAAAAAGGTATTAGAAAATATTGAGAAAACTTGTAAGCAGGTTCTCTATAAATTCTATAATATAACAAACCTAAAAATTAGTAACCATAAATTTCTAAAAGATTATTATACGAATAAAATTGAATGGATTTCCTTCTGTCTATTTAAAATAGACGTAAGTAATAGGTATACTTAGTCACATACATCTAATAAAAAGCGAATAATCTTGTTATTGAAATACATCGATTTGTTTTTAATATAAAAATAAATTCTAAAGAAAACAGCTTTAAAGTGTTTTTTAGAATGACTAAAGGTCTGTTAAAATGTCAAACAGAAGCGACTGCATACCGACCGACAACACCCACGTGGGGAGTTGTCGGTCATTTAGTTTGTTAGTCATCGCGATAAACACCTAGAAACATATAAATTAAAGACTGACGTCACATCAAATTAGTTTCGTAGTTTAATTGGGCGGTTACATTGTAAGTCACATTTTTAAATATACCTATATGTTTACACAGTGTTATATAACATTAATATACATAAACGAGTTAAATTTATATTTATCCAAAATATATCAACAAAATATATAAAATCCATCCATTGGTATTTTTCATGTTGACTATGATCATATTCCTTATATTATCTTGATCCATATTCATACTATTTTCTTGAAACACAACGTGTACGTACTAACTCTTCAGTCCAGTCTGAGATAGTAAAAATAATGAATTAATAAATCCTATAGGCATACTTCACTTTATAGTTATAAAAGACTACTATTGTGTTCTTATATACTGTGTATCAAAACTTGACAAAAAAACCAAGTAAAATATTTGACACAATCGAGCAGACATAAATTTTTCAGTGCCTACCTACGTAACTTTACAAGGTATAGTTGTTTTCCTATAATTAATTATAAATTAAAAATTTAAAACACCCACTACGCAAATTAATTGTCATTTAACGATTACCCTGGCACGCGTGAAGCACTTAAACGAGTAATCATACGCCAAAATGCCTTACATCATTTTGGAAAATAGCTGATACTCTTACTGAACTCTATGAAATCGGTCCATCTGTTTGAGAGCTACGATGCCATAGACACGCACACGCACACGCACACGCACACGCACACGCACACGCACACGCACACGCACAGATAGACAGACACAGACATAGACACAGACACAGACACAGCCACAGCCACAGACACAGACACAGACACAGACACAGACACAGACACAGCCACAGCCACAGACACAGACACAGACACAGACACAGACACAGACACAGACACAGACACAGACACAGACACAGACACAGACACAGACACAGACACAGACACAGACACAGACACAGACACAGACACAGACACAGACACAGACACAGACACAGACACAGACACAGACACAGACACAGACACAGACACAGACACAGACACAGACACAGACACAGACACAGACACAGACACAGACACAGACACAGACACAGACACAGACAGACAGACAGACAGACAGACAGACAGACAGACAGACAGACAGACAGACTCCTCTTTTGCGTTGGGAGTTAATAAAATGGTATCTATACATATAATAAAATTGTAACTAAGCCGAATATGTACATTTAATATTTTTTTGAAAATCTTATTGAAATAGACATTATTATCGATACAGAGGCCGAATCTATAGTTTTTAGAATTTTTGGTCTGTCTGTCTGTTCCCGCATCACGGAAAAACCACTGGAGGGATTTTGATGAAATTTGGTATGACGATAGCTGGTTATCCGGGTCAACATATAGGATACTTTTTACCGCGGGAAAATATCTCATTTCTGAGAAAAAATACAAAAACTGCAATGTAATAGAATACTAATATATAAAACCAAAGAATTTGGTTTTTGGTAATCTAAACGCGGGCGGAGCCGCGGGCAATGCTAGCACTCTATATACATATATCCCTAGTAATGTTTTAAATATCTACTTATTTAATTCATCCAATTGAGTTTTTAAGTACACAGTACACAACGCGTAATGACCATTTGAAGTTAGCTGGTTTGAAGCTACCAAGGTCAGCTTTTTGCTTTAAACGTAATTAATTCGTAAACAAAAAACCTGAGAATTGTTAACTTAATACACATGTCCAACTATTCTGCAGTATAAATATTAAATATAAGTATAATACAAAGTCAAGCTCATTCTTAATATTATATAACTCTAACTAATATTCGTTAAACCATGAGTTGTAAATACTAATATTTAATTTATATATCATTATCTAACATAGACTATTTTCTCTAAGCCTACTTCTTAAATAAATATTTGACTAGTTTAAATTAAAAATTCAGTTTCATAAAACACAAACAATGCAATAATACTTAATAATGTTGACCGGGGATATAAGGTACCATTATGCAAAATTTCATTTAAATCAGTCCAACAGTTTCGGAGATTAGCCCGTACAAACAGACAAACGGACAAATAGAAAATCAGACAGAAAACAAAAAAAAATTAAAAAATCTGGATTTGTTCTATTTCTCTTCTTACATCCCCCTGACTCGATTTTTAGTATATTTTTCTATGTAGGTACAGACATTTGAAATCTACAATTTTATGATATGTATAGATAGGAGGAAATAATTGTACAACCAACATTTATAGTTTTTAAAGGAACAATGTTATATATAGGTTTTAAAAGATAAAACTATATTGCCGGCGTGAGTATTAAGTATTCGATAGCTTCAAAATTCACAGATCGGCACTTTCAAACACTGTTGAGTTAGTAAGGCACCCGATTAGATAGGCAAATATCTAACTCGCTCAGCATGTCTGCAATTACTGTCTAAAACTATCTGAACTATGTCTACATTGATATTATTCAACTTCAATTAGTTAAAAGCAAAAACCACGACATAGATTTTCGCTTAGTTTTAGTGCATTTAGAGAATAATCTACAAACTATTACATCCACAAACACGAATTAAGTAGACAACTTGTTAATTTGTTATTCTTATACGCCGCTAAGAATCATCGAATTGGAGTAATTATTTAGATACTTCACTACTGGTTCATGACGCAGTTCTCATATACTATATACATATTCTAATTAACATATTTTGAGTTGAGTTTTATTGAAAAATTAACTAAGTAACCTAGGCTTCGGACGTAGTTAGGGCTTAAGCAAAAAAGGGCAAGTCGCTAACTAGCTCAATGTAAAAATAGTGCAATTATTTATATTGCACATTTTATTGTGATTTCAAAACTTGTCTGCAGGGCCTACTTTCCATAATTTCATAATGGATCAAATCACATTGTATTGGAATTGTGTAATTTCGCGTTAAACGCAATTAACGATTGAACGATAACGATTCAATCGTCTGCATATAATTAAATAATATTATCGTTTGCTTTTAGAAACAAGCACTTTTATATATAAATCGAACAACAAAGTAGAGTGAAGGTTCTTTTAAGAATTAACAAACATTTCATCCGAGCTCAGTAAATGTACTTTGAATAGAACATCTATTTATCAATATCTGGCGTTTTCCTAAGAAACTAATGGAATAAAATCTTTAAATTATTGTTAAGAATAGCAGACATCATCATTGAAAATGTTCGTCCGGTTTATATTTTCTTAACTGTTGAACACTTTAATCCAGAAGTATTTATGCTGCGGTGAAGTCGGTAAATAAGATCGGACCAACTTTTCCAGTTCCCATCTATTATAAGTCTCTGGAGATCCTTAACTTCGTCGACGCTTTGATATGTTATAACTTATAGAGCTGTAAATAAACTCTATTTACCGCAGCCGAATAACGCTAAAATAAAGTCAATGTAATCTATAAAAATACTATGATTTTACAGAATAAAAATGTTTACTTTAGTAATATAAATATTTAGGTATTATATTTATGTGTGTATTTAAAGTTACATATGTATGTGTAGTGTTTCAACTATCTGGTATCCATAAACAAGCCTCGTAGCTTACCTTGGAACTATGTAGATGGTGCTGTGTGTTAATGTCCCAACATATTTTATTTATTTATAGGTATATATTTTTAATGTCAATAATACTAGTATCTAAATAATATATAAATACTAGCTTTATCTCTTTATATACTTCTCTCTTCTTCTTTATCTCTAAATAATATATAATACTAGCTTCATCTATATATAAACACAGCTTTATCTCTTTTTATATGTTACATTAAACGCACGTTTACGAGTATATGTTAATGAAACATTCACAATAAAATATGACGGTAGTCATAGAAGCCATATGTGTAAAGGTTTACAAATAAGTCGATTAGTGAGCCGCCAGCCTACCACTAAATATTGATTGGATTATATATAGAAGAACTGACTTGAATAATTTAAATATAACTCAGATACTTGAACATTATCATGTAAAAAATTATAATTATACGTACCTAGTACCTACCTACATAATTCATAAGTTATTTCTGACAATATATTAATCTATCTAATTAAATTAAATGTTCTTAGGTTATTTGAATAAAAAACCCTTAAGGTATGTTTAATCTTCAGAATCTAATACTTCAATAGTTTGTTTACCTTTTCCTAATTTATATAATATATATACGTATGTATTAAATATATGATGTCAATTTCAACTGATATCTCGGTCTACAGCACACACAACCCCTGAACAAGTTTAATTCGAAAACTATGAGGTTGGGCACAAAGAAATAGTTTCGTCGAGTTGTTACGAGCTATTTTGGAGATGAATAGGCAAAGGGTTTGTAAACTTGCCCTGAAATTTCTTTGTATAAGTAACTATATTATAATCTGACTTAGAAGAAAAAAAAATATTTAGATTATACTCTTCAATAAAAATTAAAGCTCTTAGTATTTTTCCAAAAAAATAATATGTATATATTCAATAAAAAGTGAGAATGAATATGTTGTCGGTAACTTTTATTTCATTATAAATGTTATTTTATTTTTCGATAAATTCGCCTTTTATCATAATACACTTGGAATATCTTTTTTCTTAGCTTAAAAAACTCTTCATCGTGAGCAAGTAAACTTCCTGTACTGCAGCAACTATTGCTTCATCATTTTCGAATCGCTGTTCTTTCAGAGATTCCTTGAACCTTGGAGATACATAGAAATCACTAAGGGGAAGATTGAGTGAATATGAAGGATGCTCAAGTATTTCAAAGCCAATCTCGAATTGCAGCCATAGCAACGGCGGACCTGTGTCTTGATGGTATATAATATTTTTTTCTAATTTACCTCGCCGTTTCTCGTGAATTTCGTTACGCATTTTTTTTTATTTCTTCTGCATACAGAGAGCCCGTAACAGTAGCTTTATGGTCGAGATATTATGTCATGACCACCCCTTCACTATCCCAGAAAAGAAAGCCCATGATCTTTCCGGCGGAAAGACTCGCCTTAAATTTCTTAGGGGTTAAAGACGATAGTCTTTTCCAAGTCATAGACTAATTTTGTTTCTGAATTTGTAATGGTGAAGCCACGTTTGTTCCATTGCTATAAATCGAGACAAAAAACTATCAGCATCTTGTTGTTATAGTTCCAAAGAAGCTAGAGAAATGTTCAGCCTAGTTAATTTTTTTGGATGGGTAAACATTCTGGGGACCCAGCGTGTGGATACTTTTTTCATCCCCAAGCGTTCGTGTATAAATATGCTATTGGTATTTGTGGCTTGTTCTTGTGTGGCTATTTTTCTTTAGATATAAAACATACCGTGACACGACGATCTGCTAAAACAATGTTTTCGATTTTTTACCATTTCTTCGGTCACTATTTTTGTAGGGCGGCGCGAGCTAGGGTCATCTTTGGTGGATGTTCTTCCACGTTTCAATGCAACGCACCAACGTGCAATTGTAAAATACGTGGAGCATTTGCTCCTAAAGTATCCTGTAAGTCTTGATTAAGTCTTTCCGTCTGGAATTTTTAAAGCACAGATACTTAATAACCGCGAACAACTCATTTTTTACCATTTTCGGCAACACACTATGACATCCTGCAAATAAAAGACTCCCATTTAAAAAAAAATATTCAAACTATGACCTTTTTTTAAATATCCTTAATATTCCAGCTTTATCAGTCAGTATTAACTTTTTTGGTTCCAAAGGGTTTGTACCTCATTCTCACTTTATAATAAACGCCCTACGCATATAATATATATATATATATATATATATATATATATATATATATATATATACATCTAATATCCATTTTCATTAACAGATATTGTGATACTGTTACATATGGTGCACAAACTAACCCATTCAATTAACTGCAACGTTCTGTCGACCAATTGAACCATTCGCGTAATGAAATTTCGAGTGAAATAACCTCAAAGCTATAGGCAAAATATTCGAACACATTACAGATATTAGACGATACAATCTATATTATGTGATCCCATCCCACATGAATTTGGATATCAAAGATACTATTATTCAACCTAATACAGTAAATATATATTATGAAGTTTACAGTAAATTAAATTAATAAAGCTACGCTAAAACCTGGAGAAAACTTTCATCTATACGAGCTAATTAGGAAAACATTCGAGAGCATTAGCACTTAGAAGCTTTCGTCATTCTGCATATTTGGACTAATTTCGGAAGAAATAAACCTTTGTTTGTTAGCTTTAGTCTCATATCCATAGAGCTCACATCACAAATTGAATCTAATTGCCACAACGAAGTGTTGAATTAGGCCGAGCAGTGAAGCTTCGGCGGCCTAAATTGTGCCTATTTTACCCACTTAGGATCTGAATACTCACAGTCCACCTGTGTATGTTTTAATATTTTTGTAAAAAAAATGTTCTTATCCGATTCATCATTGGCATACTCAATTACTGAGATTTTTAAATATAAGTTACACACTTGAATTTGAAAGGAACACATGGGTTTAAAACATTTTCGCACAAAACATAGCCAAGTATAGTAATAAATTATTTCTCAGTTAAGCATCAAGAGCCTATTCGTGTATTGTGAACGAGGTCGAGTCACAAAAAGCGTGACAGAACAATATTTTTATTGCAAATCAATGTTATTCGATCGTTTACCGGAACACCAAAACAAATTGCTTGCAAAACCTAACGCACTTAAATTACATACGTAAAAGTTAATGTTCTTATGACATTGATATAACAAGGACTGATATTTGAAATGATGTTCAAGATCAAGTGTTTTTGAGAAAACATTTTGTTTATAAAATTCATATAGACGCCATGCATAGAACAAAAATACCAAGCGCAATTTATTTAACAAGCTAACTATTAGCCGCTCTCATGGACATTCGGCTGCGGTCTTGTCATGTCGTGACGCAACAAGCCGGCACAATGGCGGGCCTTGGTACAAGTGACTATTCCAAATGGACTCACTCGCCTGTTATTATGGCAACAAAGTATATAAGTACAGATAAACAACAAAAAACTACAGTAATGATATAGATGTGAATGAGAACTACAGGCTTAGTATAAAAACGCCTAAATTATGATAAATGAAACTCCGCGGGTCATTTTAGATCTACTGCATTGCGTCATGTTGAGGCAGAATACGCCTTAATTATTTGCTTTTACTTTTCTTTTACTATTTACTTAGCGAAATTAAAATGCATTAAACAAATTTGAGCCCGCGAGAATTCTGTTTGTTGAATAACATTTTCAGACATGTTTTCACTTTTCATTTAAAACTTCTGCTAACTTCAGCAACTGAGTACATTGCCACAAGTAGTGGATGTTACAATGAGAAAGCGTATTAATGAAATTTAAATACTTCCAATTGTCAGCCACCCACGAAAGAACAATGGCTAAACTTTACTAGTATTGTTTACCATTGCATATTTTTAACTATGAGTTATTTATATGTTTGAATGTATACCGTTTGGAGTATTATTTTTATGGTTACTTTATTGCAATATTATATTTACGGTAGGTGCATGGCTATTTTAATCTTAAATTTTTACGGTTATAAACTGACAGTAAACTTGTTGTACAATAATATTTCTTGCATTGTCGCACTTGTACTTTTTTGTATTAGCTTTCAGTATTGGTGGGCTTATAAGAATTCTTTACGTTTATTAAGTTTGGTAGGTTAGGTGGAAGCCGTAGGAGCCGAAAATATTAACTATATTTTTTCATATTAAAGATATCACTTGATACTCAATTGTTTTTTTCTCAATTGGTCTAACTTAAAAAAATCAAAAAATTGGAATGAACATTGTGCTAAATATTTTTGTTGTTTGCAATCGTTTAAACTCGGTTAATAACAATTCTTATACTTGTTTCGACGACAAATCCTTGTCTGTAACTGTTGCAAAAATAAATTTGCATAAGGTGACTTTCAGACAGATTTACTCCATTCAATAGATAAAAATCATGCCAAATTGTATAAAATTTTGTTTAAAATTTGGTAAGTTGTTTTTTTTTGTATTCAATATATTATAAGTAGCTAGGTAGGTAGAGTATATTACAAGGTAGCGCCCTACTTTTCCAGGTTTCATAATTAAGAAAATTCTTCCTAAATAATAATTTTATTACTACACATTGTCTTCGTCAACTAAGTAAATTAAAAGGTGCTTTGGCTAAGTAATTAAAGCCTACCTATTAAATACATACCTAATCAAATATTTTCGAAATCGGTGCCAGCCCATACAAAGCAAAGCACACCGACTTCGAAAATATTTGATTAGGTATGTATAGTAAATGAAAACTACCAATCAGTTATTTTTCACTTTTTAGTGCTTTTGTTTGAAGTCGGTTTTTATTTTTTTGTTAAAAATTTTTTATTATGTAAACAAATTCGGCTTTCTATTGCACAGATTTATATCATATTTGAGTTGCTGACCATGCGAACATTCCTAGTCTGAGATAGATGGTAGAGTCTATCTAATTCGATTAACCTCTCATAATGTTCTTAAGTACTTAAATTTAATGATGACGCCGACGTTCCTCGGTGCTCTTTTATTCATTGACATCAATTACTTAATGTGTTAAGGGTGTATATTATTAAGGGTCAAATGCCTTAGTAATCAATTATAGATACAGATGCTACTTCAAGGACATTCTTGCTTTTGTACTTGTGAATTTAATATCTTTAATATAGTAAATCTTTAACTCTGTCTAAACATTAAGCAAGTGAACAATATTTTTTATATGATTAAAGTTTATTATCTCAAAACATTACGAATCATCTTCTAAGCTTTTTAGAATTTGATGTTTTTATTGTAGTCCTTTTAATTAGGCATTTTATATTATACCAGCGGGTCACCCTCGCTTCGCTCGGGTTCGCCTCTGGGAAAACAAAAACAAATCTATCCCACAGGAACAGTACATTTTTCCGGGATTAAAAATAGCCTGTATTATTTTCTTATTATTCTAGACTATAATCTATCTCTGTGCCTTTCATCCAGATTCGTTCGGCCGTTCTGGCATGAAAGAGTAACAAACATCCATACTCACAAACTTTCACATTTATGGCATTAGTATAGATCTATGTAGAAAAAAACGACATTTGATCATTTTATTACAAAAATAATTCTTAACGTTTTATAAGGAATATATTCTATATTTTTTTATTAGTTGTTCTATTATTTTATATGAATGTTTTTTCTATTCTTCGTCATAGTAAGTTCCTACTTACTGATATACATAAAAGTTTTTTTAATACCCCTGTGATAATATAAAAAACTTTTTCGCTTCTTTAAACTTTAACTTATAATTTAAACTTTCAGCACATAATGTTGATTCCAATTGAAAATACTTCACAGTATCTAAAAGCAGTATATCGTTTAGTTTGTTATGATTATCTAAGCAGCGCGAGCAATTAACGGATCATAAATTTGTTTCCAGTAGAAGAGTTGCACGCTCTTGGAACTCACGTAGAGCTGGTGTTTTTTATTTACGCTAACGGAGATACATGAAAAAAGTTATAAGCCATAAAATTAGGATAACCGACAATGCCTTCGTGGGAAAATTAATAAAAGTGAAATTAAAGCGCGCCAATAAGTTTCCCTAACGGCGTAGATATCGGGTTGCCTTTATCTGCTAGTAATCTCCGTTACCTAGAAAACAACAGCACATCTCACAAGCACACACACTGCTCTCGTCGGAAAACGCACATGCACAATTTTCCGAACACCAGTTACGGACACCGTGTCGGTCGCGTCGAAGCAAAGGGCGGCACGTACAAGTGCTACCTCTACGCGCGATAGACTGACTGTTCTCAGGCGGGCTTTCGAGCGAGCGGGACGCGCGGCGGGCGTGCCGGCGTTATGCGCGCGCATCTCATCTCTCATTCCCTCCTTTACATTCGGCATACAACCATCCCTTTCAAACACGCGCGAGCACACCTTTCGTTCCCGAGACAGGTGTTCCTGCGGCTGTGTGCGTCGGAGTAACACTATGCATGTGTGCGCGCTTCCTGCGGATCGTTTTTTATGCCCGGCAGAAATTATAAAAAGTAAATGGAGGGAAAATTAAATAAAACGTTTACAATGAAGCGTTTTCCTGTGCGCTTTGAATGATTCAGCTTGCGCTATTTTTCAGGGTGGGTATTCATGGGTCGTACTGTCTGAATGATTACGGTGCTTTTTACGGATGTTTGAGTGACGTAGGTGGGCGTAATTAGGCATGGGGCGGAAAGGCATATTGATTGCGGTAACACGGCTTTGTGAAAGAATCGATATTTTTGTATTAAACTTGGCACGCGATGTGTCCGGCGGCCGGCCGTGCGTCCGGACTCCGAACTCGGATAGTTGAAATAAACCTGCGTATCGATCCATGCCGACAAGTTTGACCCTAGTTTATGGCGCGCATATAACTTGAGCCACACTTACAGACGTTATCGGGATCGCCTTAACTAAATGGCGACTATCATAAAAACTTCTGTCGTCCACCTTGCACGAATATAAAAATGTCTACATAGCTCCACGTAAAAAAATACACACAATAAAGTTAGCCCAAAAAATTTAATATCAGCTTTAAGAACATTGAAATAGGCTTCTAATTGAAAACATATAGTTGAAAACTGTGAACTCATATTGAAAATATATTGAAATAGTACCCGTATCACTCATCGTACATGCCTAACTACTGTTTTTTTTAAATAGTTAATACATTGTCTCATAGCAATAAAAATGTTTTTAAAATAATTGAGGCAAATCTTGGAATTCACAATAATCATTTTATTCAAAAATAGATAAGACATTCCTAAAAGTTTAATCTCTTATATGAATATTCTGTGCCAGTCATTGGAAAATACAAATATTGTTAGTATTGTTTGTAAAACTACCAAGAAAGTACAAGGTATTTCATATTTGTAAAGAAATAAAAATAACAACAATACCGCAATTGATTTTCATGTACATAAATGCATAGATAATACTTATTTACATACTTATTTCTTACTTTGGTATTAGACAAAGTTGGTATGGCATCTTTTTTAACGGCGCTTTAGTACCTATAGAACTGTAAAAATGTATTCCATAGTATAGTCTGGGTTCCAACAGAGGCCCCCAAAAGTTGAATTAGATGTGAAATATTTAATCTTATCACGAGAGCACAAGCCAAACTAAAGTTGAACGACGGCACTATTTCACGGCTCTTTGTCATAGTAATAGTATTTCGTTGTGCCCAGATGTTGAAGCACTTAGCGGCTTGCACCGGTTTTATTATGAATAGCAACGGAACTAGTATTTTGCGGTTTCCCTCCGGAGCTAGACACAAATTAATGCCCGAGCTTTCAACTAGAAATTAATGTAATGCACCCAGGTTACGTAGCCAAATTGTTGGCGTTCAGTAAATTTTGCACGAGGAAATAGCGAATTTTGTAATTGAATTTTTGATCATACATGACCTGGCATGATATGATGTCTATAAACAATGGGACAGAATAAACTCAATTACAGTCGCACGCTCGCACGCGTCACAATCCGTGCAAAGAATGCGCTTTAAAATGTGAATTCTGAATTGTTAGCGATACTGTTTGCACTCTACGTATGACAAGTCATTTACATTATTTTCAAAACGTTATCGTATAAAAAACCACTATCTGCGGTTACACTCCCTTTAAATTTAATACCTATACCTACACAATTATCTTTTCTGTACCTATAGGAATTCTATCTATGACCAGTAAGTAGGTCTATTTGAAATGACACTTACCTTTATTTTAGTTCGAACAATAACTTTATGGAAGAAAAAGTTAGTATTTTGGGAAAATTTACTTGTCTAAGTCACCGACAAAGTACCAGTGGACAGTCTGGTTCACATACAGCATAACATTTTTGAAAAACTAGATGCATATTTAAGTTATCTTTTATACAATAAGTATTCTATATCTATATATATAAAAGAAAGTCGTGTTAGTTACTTCGCTTATAACTCAAGAACGGCTGAACCGATTTAGCTGAAAATTGGCAGGGAGGTAGTTTAGAGCCAGGAGAAGGACATAGGATACTTTTTATCCCGTTCGACCGCGTTCCAATTTTTATGATATTTTAATTTTTGGATTTCTCTTAGTCCGGAATAGGTAAGTATTAAAACATATAATTAAAATGTGAGAAAGAAAGATTTTTTCTTTTTATATCTATTTAAAACGTACCTAGCGACGAACCCGAGCGAAGCGAGGGTGAGCCGCTAGTTTACTTATAAAAGAAATAAACTAAAGTTAAATATTTAAAGGAAATATATTTTGGCGAAATCATAAGTGGGAGGTAAAGTATTAGCTAACCTAATCTTATTTAACGATATACATATTAGATATAATCATAATATGTAGGTACGTGAAAAACACAGACTTTTTCCCGGACAAAATTCGAATTCTATTTGCGTACTCTGTTCTCATTTTTTAGTGGTTATAGATTTAAAAAACCAGACTAAGTTCGCTACAGTTATAAAGTACATAATATATGTCACTTTTTTAAAACATATATATTAAGGGTACACATTTTTGGCTGCTAATTTTAAGTTCACTTCCTTTATGTTTTTAGTGGACACTTTATTGGCTTAAGATTTTTGTTTAGGAGTGTTTAGCTATAGATATTTATTAATTATAATACACCGTATGTTTCCCAATGATAAATAAATAACTAATTAAAATATTATGAAAGATAACTCATCTAAATTATGCTAGCATTGTAAGTCATACATTATTGGAAGTATTAGTAGATATAAATCTAATCTAAAAATAGGCTATGCGTAAAAATTAAAACATTACAAAGAAGAATAAGCTAAACTCTTATTATCTAAGAGCTTTATGTGAACAATGATTCATCGTGACATCATGTGGCGCGCCCTGTAGCGCCAAAAATCGCATCAGTTCTATAAAGCTTACTATGGGCAGAATTTTATAATAATTGTATTGACCAATACGACGCTTATACAGTTCTTGTGTTCTTCTAAGTTCACGTCAACGACTCAAACGTCGTGAACGTCTAAAACTTTAAATTGACTCTACAAATATTTGGAAATTTAGCTCTACAGATATTATGTTTATATTTATACGTTTGATTGTTTAAGTCCTAAAAATAGAATAGTTTTTCTAATAAGTATAAAATCTTCACTAGAATTTGTTTAAGATTTCTTAAGTTTCTTTCTAAAGTAAATATTGATATTTCATAACTCATTAATAACATTACGAGTTTATTGATTCAATATTTATTCTAAGACAGAATTAAAAGGAAAAATCTAATTCTAAATGATTAAAGAATTTATTTAGTTTAATAAGCAAAGTTTCAAATCGCATTCAAAAATGTACCTACATAAAACATTTCTCTATCTACTGATATTATCTGAAATAATAAATTTATAATAATTTTGATAATTATTACATATGTACTAGTCTATACTGTAAACTATACTGTATTGAAATGTCTGTCTGTCTATGACCGCATCACGGAAAAACCACTGCAGGGATTTTTGTATGATGATAGCTGGCTATCCAAGTCGACATATAGGATACTTTTTCTGCGGGAAAATATCTCATGTCTGAGAAATCTATACTAAACGTTAAAACATAAGCGGAGACGAACCCGAGCGGAGAGCGGATGAGTCGCTAGTATTTACAAAATATTCAATACTATAATAATAAAGTGACAATACATATTTATGTAGCACACTTTCACTTAATTTAGTTTGTTAATCACATATTATTATACCTTAAAATCCAAATAATCGAATTGAGCTGTAAATTTCGGATCCAAATGTTTCAAATGTTCAAAATTTAAAACAATTTAAAACTTCTAAATCAAATTGATTTTAACCCTTCGTGATTTTTATTAGGGATTCCTTCATGAGGGAAGACAAAATAGATATTTACGTGGTAAAGACTAAAATCACCATAACCTAATTGAGAGGTGATCTATTTTAGAGGTGTTTTAAAGGTGTCACATAATGTAACCTTCAGTGCTAGGCTGTCAATAAGGCAGGAACCTAATGAACTGTAGTTTAAACTTTTAGGATAACATGAAATGCGTTAAGATAGTCGACACTAAAATTATAGCTTTGTAACTACTGATATAAATGTAACATAGTAAACCCTGAATTCTCGGAACACTTAAAGAGATTAAAACGATAGATTATCGTGTGAGTTTGGATTACTTGCTCGTTTTTCATTCTTTTATTTAAGACTTTTACTTTTCGTAAACATCGCGTTTCCTAAGAGATTAAACTTAAGGCGGCCTTTGACTGTAAAAATACCAATCCTACATTGATATCATGAACGAATTAGTGGCGAATTCGTTCCTGATTGATATGTAGGTACAAATAGGTACTTACTTGAAAATAAAATTATTTAAGATTTAATTCTGAAACAAGAATAGAAGCTATTAAATGTATTATAATTAATAAGATTTGTACAGAAATACATAGAAAAAGAATTGTATCTGGGAATAAGTTTAAGGTAATACGTCAGCGAGCAATGAGCCAGTGACGAAGTGACGACGTGCGCTCCTCTACATGGTGACCATGATCATAGTTTTCTAAAATATATATTATAATATAAGGTTATATCCCAGAAGGTAAAATAAAATTTAACTGTATCGCTAAGAAACGAATACTATATAAGAGATCGATATACTTTTTTTCTATATGAAAATCAATGAATTCTTTAAACTTGTATGTATATATAATTCTAAGCATTCATGTATGATATAAAATAAAATTAAAAGTGGTAAAATATACGAACGTAATTATATTTTAATATTATATGGGCATTAACGCACTTCATGATGTAAACATAAATCGATAATAAAAATTCATTTAGACCTATAAAGTAAAGTATATAATAAAAAAGTCAATTTTCACAATGTGTGCACCCATACAATGGACACTCTACACTGTACCGAGAATTTCACAGTAGCTAATAACATGTTGAAATGGTCGCAGCTCCCGGCTGGTATGGCAACAATTTTAATAAATAATTATCCTCCGCTGCCTTGCGATAAGCAGGCTTAATTCCCTTCTCATGTGTTCCAAAATAGTCTGTTACGTTTTGAATAAGTCATATAAGATTTAGCATTATTTATGAAAATAATGTAATTTTATATACATACGTATATTATAATTAAGATTAATATATTATTTAAAAAAAATGACGTACTACATATATAAAAAGTCAGAAATTCATTAATAACGTTATAAATTCAATAAAAAGCTGAAATGCTAAGATATTTTGTAGTGAGCACATTTACTTAAAAGCTTTCTATAAAAAGTTGCATAATCTTATTTAAAATGATTTTTTATTCATAAACATTTTTCATATACCTACTAATTACTGAAGAAATAAAAGAAAATAGTGAATGGTGGTACAAAAGTTAAAAAGGGTAAGCTATGCGAGTATGAAAGGAGTTGAGAACTCCGACGTGTTAAGAGTTTTTCATTTGGACTTAAAATTTTGTAAAAATGTTTTATAAGAGATTTCCCATTCATAACATCGTTTTGTTTTCCATCGCATTAAAATAAACGATGCTCACACAAGCGGCGCTCCTAAAAAGCTGAAGCTAATTGCAGTAAGATACCGTCCTTTGCTAATACGATATGTGTTACACGGGCCGCGGTACGAGGGCAATGATTTTTA